TGCCCCCAGTAACAGCAGGGACTCCAGTAGTCTCCTCACCAGGTGTTCGACCCCCTTGCTGTCTGTTGGTTGAATACTCTGGAAGCAGCCATTGCCACTCCTGATTCAGTGGCTCCTAAGGCATGCTCCTGGTTTGCTGGGGCTGTGTCTATATTGACTTGTCCTGTGCTGGACTGTGTTCCACTCTCACCCAGGTCCAACAGACCTTTCCTGCTGACCTTCTGAGTTGTCTTTGGAGTCTGTGGGCTGAGAGGTCTGGAAACCTCCACTGCCACCAGTGAGTTAGTCACCCCAAGGCCTGCTCCTGTTTTGCTAGTGTCCAGTCTGTGCTGGCATGGCCTGCACTGAAATGCACTCATCTCTCACCCTGGTGCAATGACCTTTCCTGCTGACCTAAGCTGTCTTGGGCTGGAAAATTGTTTCACTATGTCTGTTTGTGGGTTCTGCTGCTCTAGAATTTGTTTAGAGTCATTATTTAGAGGCATTTGGAGGAGTTTGAGGGGGAGCTCAGGAAAGTCCCTGCCTTTACTCCACCATCTTGGTTCTGCCTCTGTCCAAGGATTGTCTAAATATTGCTCGTAGGGATAGATATTGCTGGAATCTTATCCACATTACTCCTAGGGAAACTTTGATTCCTGCCTGGAAGGGAGCAGGAAAAGGAATAAGAAGGCCTGCTACTCAGTTCTTCTCTAAGAGGGGACTACTAGACCAAGATTATACCTATTTCCCCCTGCCTCCACAGATATTTCTGGTACAGAAGTATATTTTTAGGTTAAAAACTGATAAAGCTGGTAGCTCCTCTAGGCACTACCTTTTGAAGGTTGAGGATACCCAAAGCTTTTACCTGCAGGCTTGACTCATTACTACCAAACACTAGTTACACAAAAGACTATCGCAAATTGTGAATATTTATCTAAGTGCATAGCAAGGAGAAATTTAAATTTTAGACAGTAGTACATACCTAGAAATATAAATGAATGAGTTCTTCGAATGAGAATGAGCTCAGATATCCATCACCCAAAGGAAAGGACACAATCTCACTGATGGGAAATTCCCTGAAGTGTCTAGAGAGGTAAGCTGGAAATGACGGACATGTTAAGGACTCAGCCTCTCCTTTTTCTTTCCCAGAAAGAGAGTCTGTCTCTTTTCGCTCCTTGGAATCAGTTTTAAGAATGTGGAGCTGCTTGTGTGTGTCTCTATAAGTAGGGATGAAAAATCTCTCTCCCTTCCAAAGCTCTCATGCCAGTTCTACTCCTCATGCAGGAACTCAGTATTGACTCATTCTTTCTATCAATTAGGAGATTCTTATGCAAAATGTTCCTGTTTTGAAAACCAGGTTACAAGTACCATAAGGGGATTGGACTAGATGACCTCTGAGGTCCCTTCTAGTTCTAATTCTATGATTTAATCTCATCTTTGATTTCTACAGAGCTCTACATGTGTTCTTTAGTTCCTGCATTGTCTTGCCAGTTGGAACTACTCCCAGGGTTTATAATGAGCTATGTGTCACTGTGTGACTTCAGTCAATGAACACAACAATGCAACCTCTGGAGCATGTGTGGCAAAAACCCACAAGTTGGAGGGGAGTGCAGTGGGAGATTGGCACTACTGCCTCATTCACAAACACTTCTGTCACTCTTGTCCAAAGATAGGTCCATAGCAGAGAACTCCTTGACCTTGGGATCATCCTCTCTGACTCTAGAGGGACTAGGATAACAGAGGAGGCAGTGCTAGAGACCGTAAACCTGAGTTCCAAGTTAACCCAGGGTGAGGTCCTGGTTTTCTTCCTTCCTTGTCTCTGATCAAAGTTCTTTGGAAAAAAAGAAATTTCAGATTGTGGCCACCTGATAAGAAAAAACCTTCATGTATTTGAAAGATTGAAAAAAAAAGAAAGATGACTACGCAGAAGATAAATTAGATGTGTGTGGCTTTTCCTGAAAAGGCAGAATTAGGGATAAGTTAAAGGGCAGATTCTAGTATGATGTGAAAACTAGAAAAACTCTCTTAGCCTTCCAAGCTGCCCCAAAGTGGAATGGGTTGCCCCACAATATGATGGCCTTTGCCTCAGTGGAGGTCTTCCAACAGAAGCTGGAAAACCACTATATTGCAGCTGTTTCAAGCAGGATTCCTGTTTGGGAATGGATTAAACTAGGTGGCTTCTGATACTCCAACTAACTTGGAGATTCTATAGGTAAAGAAGCCAACCATTGAGACTAACACATCTAGGACATGAGTGACATGGAAAGGATGCCTCTGGGTGACTGTAATATCTCTGGATTCCCTGGTCTTTAGTGGCTATTGTACACATTTCAAAATTTCAATGACCTGACCAGAAATGCCATTGAAAGGAGAAGTGGCAACAGTTACCTGGGTATCTGGTCATTGTCAGTATCACACCATCTAGTGACCAAGAACTGTGGCTTACCTAGATCTAGCTGCTTACCTAGAATAGTCAGGGAGCCAGCATGCATTCATACAAAGGTTCTGGGGTGCTAGCAGCTTTTCAGAAAAACAGTTTAGATATAATTAAACAGCATCATGCTTTCCTACCTCTTCCCCTCCCCTGCCTTTGATTTTAGAGACATCTCCACATGACCCCCATCCCATCTGCTTTTTCTTTTCTCAAAAAGTGGATTCTTGAATAGATCAAATGGTAAGAGGCAGTTGGATGGCATAACAGTCAGAATGGCAGACTTGAAGTCAGGAAGTCTTTAGTTCAAATTCTACTTCAGAAGCTTACTAGATATGTGACCCCAGGAAATTCACTTAATTTTTCTCAGCCTTGATTTTCTTATCTGTAAAATGGGAATGATAGTAGCACCTATTTCACAGAGTTGTGAACATCAAATAAGATGATGTTTACAAAGTGTTTTGTAACCCTTAAAGAGCTATATAAATGTGAACCATGGTTATGAGTATTATCTTTTATCTCTTCTGTGATGGTGGACTGAAATTCTTCCATATCTCTCCAGTCTGTGGGATTCTTTCCATGTTACTCCACATATCCTTGACAAAGGACCTATAAAAAATACTGGAAAATGTGAGGTTGGGGGTGGGAGCAGAGTGGAGTGTCAAAGATGACTGAAGTTTATGACCCTGGATAACTGGGAGGAATGGTGGTATCATCAATAAAATTCACTTCACTTGACTTCACATCAAGAAACATTTATATGTTCATTTTAAGCAAGTCATTGCTAGGTATTAAGGATACAAAAATAAAAACAAATAACTGTTATGGTCAAGAATCTTATATTCTATGCAAGAAAGTCTCACATTTCATTGTTAGTAATGTTTAAGGACAAATATTTTGGAAAATGAAAAAGTTACATTTTTACTAAAAGAGAAATATCTAGAAAATTCATGACCTCAGTTAGCCATGGCTATGGCTAATTTCAGGAATCACTCTCAGATCCTGGATTCCTGGAAGTTATGCTGAAACCACCTACCTTCACTTGGTGGCAGTTTATTCCAGTGACAAGTTCATGTCTTTTGAGTGGGGTAGAACATTAGAGCACCAAGAGGGAAAGGAATGAGCTTTAGATGTATTGGGCTCAGGATGAGAGCTTATATTCCTGAAGGGGATGGTGATGGGGGGTGGAGTGGAGGGGATTATTAAATGAGGAATGGTAGGCAAGGAGTTTGGTCCATCCCTGTTCATAGTGTTTATGTCTATTCATGATCTAGGTATCCAAGGTAGGGTATAATACTCACCTGACCCCTTGAGAGGACACACTTTGCATTCCCTGAGCCTTGCTCCTACTCTAGACTTGCCAGTTGGTTCCCATAGCATCAAATAACTTTTGACTGCAGCTACCAATGAAGTCAGTAGGAGGTTAGGAACTTGAAACTCTCCAGCAACCTGTATAAGGGAGGTTAGCCAGAAGATTACTACAATATAAAGAGCCGATTGCTTTAATGATAACTAACATTTATATAATGTCAGGCACTATGCTAAACACTTTACAGTTTTTCTCTTACTTGATCATCACAACTGTGGAAAGTAGATATTATTATCCCCATTTTATAGATTGGGAAACTGAAGCAAACATAGGTTAAATGATTTACCCAGGATCACATAGCTAATAAGTGTCTGAGGCAGAATTTGAACTCAGGTCTTCCTGATACCAGGCATGGCACTCTATCCACTGTGCCACCTAGTTGCCATGGTGTTGAGGTTGAATACCTAAGAAGCTGTATCCTCAGATGGTATGGCTATCAGCCCCATTGAAAGGTCTTCATAGAGCTCTATTTGAAATCTTTGGGATAGTCAGAGGGGTGTAAAGGTTCAATACTGCATTTTTTTCTGTCTAATCAAATTGGAAGATGTTAGCTAGTTTAGCCAATGTACCTTGAACAATTAAAGAATGAAGTACTGTGCTCCCTGCCACTCAAGGAGTTCAAGCTGAGGCTGAATGACTGACACCCTTTCAAAGAATGATAGAATTTGACAGTTGGGAAGAACCTTAGCAGCCATTAAGTCCAACCCATAAGAATCCCTGCTATTATATACCCTAAAACTATTCATGCAGCCTTTGATTGCACTCCTCCAAGGAAAGGGAACCCACCACCCCTTTAGGCATCCCATTCTTCTGGCCTGGGTGCCCTGATTGAAGCCCTACTTTTCCTTTACCCCTACTCAGTCAAATGTAAGGAGCAAGCTGAGCACCCCTATGCCCCTGTCCTTGCCTGGCAACAATGCTTCTTGGCTATTGTAAGCATTATTAGCTAACTGTCATCCATTAACACCACTGTGGCTTGCAAGTTCCCACAACCTGGTATACTCTCTATCCCTCAATTATTTTATTACCAGACAAATAAGGCAAGCTACAACCATTCCCCACCTCCTGTTTTCTTTTTGCCATATTCTGCAACCCTTAGTGAGGAGGGTCTCCAAGCATGTTCAGGAGTGTGTTTGTTCATCCTTTGTTTTGAAGGGGACCAGTGACATCACAGGGTTATGTCCTAACTTATGCGTGAATTGGATTCTCTCTCTCTTCCAGAATCATCAAAGTCTGATGGCAAAACAAAAGATAAGTAGCAATGGCCTGGGATGCAGTGGATGACCTTGGTGTCTTTGATGTCTAGCCAAGTTCAAAGTGCTCCACAATGCCTGCTCAGCCACCTTCATGGCCTGTTGGCCCAAATTGTTCTCACCACCCATTCCATCAGGGGAAGTCTTCACATGCTTGGGGTAGACATCCTCCTAACTCTCCAACTGGTTTAAGGCCTGTAGGTTACCTTCAACCTGGCTTAGCCCAATTTATGGGATGATTTTACCAGAGTGTGGCTGCTGCACATGTTACAGCTTCTTGGAGCCCCAGGTGAGATTTGGGTAAAAGATGGACACCAAAGTTGGATAAGCAGCCCTTAAAAGGTCTAGATGTAGAGGTATAACAAGAAATCTTGGCACCAGATAAAAACTTGCTCTCAATTCGACAGTGCTGGACAGAAATCCTGGACATCACCCTCACAAAGAGTGACAGTTTGGGGGAAGCCCCAACTTATCAGGGCAGGTGAGTCTGCCACCTAGTGAAAGACTCATCTGGTCTGGTTTCAGGGCAGTGGGAGACACACCATCTAGAATCTTCCCAAATTAACTAATTTTTATTGCTAAACCATCTCTATACTGTTGAAGGGGTGAAAATATCCTGCCTCTGACACTTACTAGCTATGTGACCTTAGGCACTTAAGGTCTGACACTTAGTTTCTCCATCTGTAAAAATAAGGAGTTGGGATTAGATGACTTCCAAGGGCCCTTCCAGCTGTAGCTCTTTGAACCTAAGATCTCACTAAAACATAAATGTAACACATCTTAAAATGGAATAATCTTATAAAATCATCTTTTAAAAGTTCTATATCCTCAAAACTTCCTTGCCTTGGGGTAAAGCTCTGGTCATCCCATCCTTAGTTAAGTCTCTGGCTAGATGGACCATGATCTCCCTTCAAGCAGTGAGAATCTGAGGTTTTGAGATCTTCCAGATATTTGATGGAGTTGTTTATCTAGAACATAGAATCCCTAGAGAAGGGTACTGTAATATAAAGTTAGAGAGGTGTGTTAATTTGGACTTTATCCTCTTGATGGGGTCTGGGAACAAGCAGAGACCTTTGCCCCTCACCCCAAAAAGAATTTGGGTCCCATTTGTCTATGGGCCCCAGAAAACCCTTAAACTTTCCTTGAATTCACTTACCTGGTCAAGAAAGTCTAGCAGTCTTCTGATTATTATTCCTATCAACTGGCTCTCCCTTATTGCCTAGGTCCTATCTCCTGCTTCTTTGATACCCTAATTAAGCCTAGTCCTCTACTGTCTATAGTCCTGGGTTATATTTCTCATCCTTAATCTTATCCAGACCCCATTCAATCTCTTCTTCATCTTCTAGGCCCTATCTTACAGTTGACCTCATTCAACCTCCCAGACACTCCCTTTGGGATTCTCCCAGGACCCACCCCAATCACCCCAGCTTCAAGATCTTCCCTAAACTCCTCTTCCAGTACTGGCCATTCCCATCAAGATGCCCCTTCTCCCAGCCCCCACCTCCAGTCACCAAAAAACTACTTGATCACTCCCAGATCCCTCCCATAGTCTTGCTGTATATAAGATCCATCCTGGTCACCATTTAAGGGCTGAGATTTCCTCATGCCCACTCTCGAGTGTCACAAATGGTCAGATTCCTTAAGAATCTGGCCTATCTGGCTCATCTTTAATAAACCTTGTCTTTGGCTGAAAGAAGACTTAGGTTGAATTCTTTCAGGCAGGACCCACATGTGGTGATTGCGGGGTCCCAGCAACCCTAGAATCTAAACCTTGACACTCTGAGTAATGAGGAGCCACTGAAGCTCCTTGAGCAGGGGAGTAATTCAGTCCAAGTTGGTTTTAAGATAATTCTGATAGCATGTTCAGTTTAGACAGGAGAAAAGACTGGAGGTGGGGTGACTTAGGGAGAGCTTTGAGCTTATTCCGTTTATTGAGTTTCTTGTGCTTTTGGACAACATTAATAGTGGGGAAGTTCTTTCTTGTGTTGAGCCTTTACAACCTCAGGGGGAAGCAGTATACTTCAGTTTCCTCTGGGAATGGGATGAACTTGAACTAACTTTAGATACCTTAAATCTAAGAGGGACCAAAGGTCATTCTAATTGGCCCTACAGGACAAAACTAGGAGCAGTGTGTGTATGTATGTGAATTGATGCATGAAACAAATGAAAATGAATGAATGAAGAAAGCATTTATTAATTGTTTGTTATGTGCAAAGCACTCATCAAAGCCTTGAGAATATAAGCAGAAAGTTAAGATAGTCTCTACTCTCAAGGAGCTCACATTCTAATTGTGAAGAGATCACACATGGAAGGTTTCAACTGCAAGTCAGACAGAAAGGTCCCATGGTCCTTAAGGTGCAGTGGCAAAGCAGATGGTCATGACTATTGTTAAATGTCATTTCCACTGATAAAGTTCTATCACCTTCTATGTTTAACCATCTGATAGTACCAAGGACTTTGGTGGCAAGACCTTTTGTTTTCTGTGTCTCTAGAAGTTGAGGTTGTAGCCCTGCAGAGGTGATTGCCAGGTTGCATCCCCTCAGGGAGGGTTTCCCAGAATGATATGGCTGTGGACTACAGGCTGGAAATGTTGCTACTCCCAACACTTTGGTATTTAATTTTTTTTGTCTACACAATGGGGTTAAGTGACTTGCCCAGGGTCACACAGCTAGTAAGTGTTAAGTGTCTGAGGCCAGATTTGAATTCAGGTCCTCCTGAATCCAGGGCAAGTGCTGCATCTACTGCACCACCTAGTTGCCCTCATTCCTAACACTTTGGAGTTCAGGATCCTGAGCTGTATCTACATGGATCTGAAAGGAGATGGTGGTCAAGGTGGTGATGGTGGTTCTAGTTGCTTGTTAAATGCTGCCTTTGTTCATCCCTCAGAGTACCCTGTTGCTTCAGCTGGGCTGGCTTGCCTGCCCTGTGAGTGCCAGTTGGTGGCAGTTGATGGAGATGGCTGGCCCCTCCTCCACAGGAGGGGTGTGTGTGTGTGTGTGTGTGTGTGTGTGTGTGTGTGTGTGTGAGTGTGTGTAGATGAAAGGGATCTCAAAAGTTATGTGCTTAAACTCTCTACTATTAGGATTAGGGAAGTTAAATGACTTTCCAAGGTCATCCAGGTGAGAAAACTCCCAGTTTGGATGTTAACTATTGGGAAAGAAAGAGAAATCCTTGTCCCAGAAGGTGTCCAATGAAAGGTTTTAGATAACCTCACCCTGGGAAAACTGTAAAAAGTATTTTGCTCAGAATGACATGGGGGATAGATTCTGGTCTCTGATGGTTTTGTTACCCAGTGTGTTGGGGAGAGGGACATTGACATCATACTTTCAGGGATGAAATCTGGGGAGGTGTCAGAGAAATGCCTTTGGACTAAGGCAGTTTTGGGGATCAGATATGCTGTGCAGCAGGAGGACTGCACAGTCATCATGACTGGGCTATTCTGAGGCTCTTTGAGTGTCTTTAGTACCAAAACCTCAAAGTCACTTTCTGGGAACTGATAAAATCATCAACAGAAAATGCAACAGCTTCTTGGAGGGTCTAATGTCTGAGACACATGCCTGTAGATCTCAATCTTAATCTGTGGCAACCAGAGCTCATTAGGGACTCCTAGGTTGATGAGAGAGGTGATTTGGAGTAAGCTATGAATCACTGTGCCCCTCAGTGGGAGTTACACTGTGATCTGTTCTCGGGGGATTTATTGAAAAAAAAACCTGCTAATCTCTGCAGCCAAGGTGTATTATTGCCAAGGAGCCTGTGCTCTCATTATAAATACCTATTTGTTCTCAAGGAATCGGCATCACAGATGCTCAGGGGCCACCTAGTCCATGCTGTACCTGAGAAGGAATTCCCCTTGCAACATGTAGAACAAATGACCATCCAGTCTTTGCTTGAAGGGGGCCTACTATTTCCTGAGATGGCCCACTGCATTCTTGGATAGCTCCAATTGTTTGGAAGTCCTTCCTTCCATCAAGTCTAATGTTGCTTCTTTGCACTGTCCCCAACCTCCCTATTCTTAGTTCTGTCCTTTGGGGCTGAATAGAACTAGGGCATTTTCTCCTTCCATGTGACAACCCTACAAATATTAGAAGACAGCTATCAGATGTGTCCTCTGGCTTCTCTTCCCCAGGCTAAACATTGTCAGTTCCTTCATCACATCTTCACATAGCATTGTTGAGGTTTAGATGCTAGAGGAGCTGAGACCCCCAAATCATGACACACAGGTCCTGCCTGAAAGAATTTGACCCAAGTCTTCTTTCAGCCAAAGACAAGGTTTATTAAAGATGAATCTGAACATTTGTGAAGCTCATAGGATGAGCCGGCATGAAAAAATCTCAGGTCCTAAACTATAGCCAGGTTGTATCTTATATACAGGCAAGTAATTTGGAGTGACTAGAGAAGGGGCTGGGAGGAGGATCTTGAAGTTGGGGTGACTGGGGGAGGAGTTTAGGGAGAATTCCAATGGGAGTGTCTGGGAGGCTGAATGGGGTCATCTGGGAATAGAAAATGGAGGGCTAGGCTTTATTGGGGTAACAAAGAAACTGGAAGATAGGGCCTAGAAGATAAGGAAAAGGATGAATGGGGTCTTGATAATATCAAGGATGGGAACACAAGGAATTAGGGTATCAAAGAACTGGGAGATAGGGCCTAGGAAGTCAATTGGAATAATAGTAACTTCAGGCAACCATTTGAGACTTCTTTGACCAAGTAAGTGAGTTCAAGGAAAGTTTAAGGGTTTTCTGGGGCCAGCAGACAAATGGGACCCAAATTCTTTTTGGAGTGAGGGGCAAAGGTCTCGGCTTGGGCCCATACCCCATCAGCATAAAATGCAGTGGATGACCTTGGTCTTTTAAAACTAAGGTTTTTCCCAGGTCTCAGTTTGTCTGAGGCAATAACCATTTAATGATTAAGTTGTAGGGAAGAATTGAGACAAAAGATGGCCTAGTCTGTCATCATAAAAGAATCATTCTAGGAGGGGGGAAGACCCTCAGAGTTTCTAGCCAGAACAGAAAGCAATTACTGTTTATGCTCAGAGCCATGGAAAGCCAAACAGTGATCAAGAGAGGCTTGGGCTGGCACCTATTATTGGCCATTCAATGAAAGCCAGAGTGATTTGTGTTTAAAGGCTTAGTTAAGTAGCTCCATTTGAATCATGATGGGCTTTTTCATAGCCTGTATTTTTCAGAGCCATATTTCAAGAAATCACAAATTAAAACTGTGCAAGACAAAGAGTTAATTGTCCCATCTTTTTTTTCTTTTTCTTTCTTTTTTTTTGGTGAGGCAATTGGGGTT